TATCAGCTAATATCACCGTCGGCAGCTTTCCCGCGAGTGGGCGTGGTTTCAGCGCAGCCAGCGGACACGCCCCCAGCGTTTGAGAGCAGTTTTTCAAGATTTTGATAGCTTATTTTATGACCTTGCCGGCTTTTTTTATCATTCAAAATTGGCTGGGTGGCTAATAACACATTTTTCTGTGGTGTGACAAACTCAGAACACATACTTAATTTTGACTTTACAGGGACTTTAATAATAAAATAAGCAAATACAAAATGAAAGTAAAAGACAGCAGCCCCTCACGGACGACTGTTGGCACATATAATAAAACATAAAACACAACATAAGTCCAGGCCTGTTCCTCTCTCTCTCTTCACTGCCGTCGCTCCTCCTTCACGCTTCCGCTCCTCCGTGAGAGACCCGAGACCGGTGCGCCGCGCAGGAGTCGCTCATCAGCAATCACGCCACCGGCCTCGCGCCGTCCTCTCAGGGCCCTCGGCCTCGTCCTGCTCAACACAGATTGGTCGATTGATAAGCTTAAATCTGATTGGCTGAAGCGTACGACTGATCCGTGTAGCACTGCCAGGAAAGTCTCAAAAATACGCACACACAAATCCAAGGCGATCCACGCGCAAATGACGATTTGCACATTCACATTCAAGGATAAACATTTTAAACATTCGAAGGTTTCTGTGCACAGTTGTATACAGGTGAAACTCGAAAAATTAGAATATGGTGCAAAAGTTCATTTATTTCAGTAATTCAACTTAAAAGGTGAAACTAATATATTATATAGACTCATTACATGCAGAGTGAGATATTTCAAGCCTTTATTTGTTATAATGTTGATGATTATGGCTTACAGCTTATGAAAAGCTTTTCACAATATTCTAATTTTGAATTTGGGGTTTTCAGAACTGTAAGCCATAATCATCAACATTATAACTAATAAAGGCTTGAAATATCTCACTTTCTTGCCGCCGCCCGTCTCGCCGCCCGTCGGTGTATGAATGAGTGTGTGAATGGGTGAATGTGAGGCAAATGTAAAGCGCTTTGGTGGCCATTGGGTCTGTGAAAGCGCTATATAAATGCAGTCCATTTACCATTTACCATTTACTTTGCATGTAATGAGTCTATATAATATATTAATTTCACCTTTTAAGTTGAATTACTGAAATAAATGAACTTTTGCACCATATTCTAATTTTTGGAGTTTCACCTGTATATGCATTTGTGAAATGTATTTTATGAATATAAAATTTTATTTCACGCACGTGAATTGTTTTTTTGTGTATGTAAATTTGGTCTTATGCATGTGAAATTGGCTACGCATGTGTGAATCATGTTTTGTGCATGAATGATGAATGAGAGGGATCTGGCTCCACAGCTGAGATGCTTTACTGAAGGATGACGAGTGTTTCAGTCTGAGCGAGTCATGAGACTCTGAGGCGTTGGTGTGTTTCTGCTGACTCGTCCTGTGCCTCACCGTTTTTATTCTGCCGGCCTCAAAGCATCAGGTCAACCTGAACTAATCTCATTCTGCTTTTAAACTTCTAAAGAACAGCTCGTCACAACTTGGGGGATGTGCAAATATGCATGTTTGAGTTCGCTGATGGCTTTCCTAAATGACTAGCTGATAAAACAGCATGACAAAATATCTCGAAACTAGAAAAATGTAGAATAATTTAATGTTTTTTGGTCTAATTTAGAAAAATTACTACTTGAAAGAGTTGTACATTTCATAGAACAAACTAGAAAATTTTTAACTTTCAAATTTAGTTTAATTTAGAAAATGTGTTTGTTGATAAAACAGCAAGATGCAATATTTAGCAAGAAAAAGTTTTTTTGAACATTTTATAGCACAAACTAGAACATTTAAAAAAAATTGTTTATTTAGTTATTTACATTTTAAATGGTCTAATTTAGAAAAATAACTAGTAGATAAAAAAAAACTTTTTATTGCACAGATTCAACATTTTAAATAATTGAATTATTATTATTCATTTACCATTTCATTTTTAATTTAGTAAAATATATTTTTTTTTTATAAAACAGCTGGATGCAGGAGGAAAAATATCTTAAACAGCAAAAAACGGCAACATTTAGAATAATTTAATTATTAATTTATTTATTAATAAAAAATATGTCAAATTTAGAAAAAAAATACTTGATAAAACAGTGAGAGAAAATATCTTGAACTTTTTTTATAGCACAAACTAGAAAATGTAGAATCATTTAATTTATTATAATTACATTTATTTTAGTCAACTTTAGAAAAAAAGACTAGTTGATAAAATAGCGAGATACAGGATGAAAAATCTCTATAGCAAAAAACTTCAAAATCTAGATTAATATATATAAAAAATTATTATTATAAAAAAAAACATTTTTTTTAGTCATTTAGAAAAATCACTAATTGATAAAACTGAGATGCAGAATGAAAAAATGTCTTCTTTTATAGATAGAATAATAATAATTTGCATGATTAGTTAATAAAACCGCGAGATGCATATATAGAACTTTTGGAAACACTTTATTTTAGTGTCCTTGTTACATATGTCACATGTACTTACCGTAGTAATAACAGTAAATTATGCATAATTACATGCAACTAACCCTCAACAAACCCTAACCCTATGGTAAGTACATGTTGTTAATTATTATTACTCAGTACTTAAATGTATAATTACACTGTAACAATGACACCTTAAAATAAAGTGTAACCGAACTTTTTATAGTATTTCCCTTTTTTTTTTTACTTTTCAACCAACCACCGAAGCGCACAGGATTGTGGGATACCGACAGAGACGGGTAGACGTGTTCTCGTACGCACTTCTCTATTCTCCTCCTCCGGCATCTGCGATTCCTTCTCTCTGCTTCCAGAAATGCCGTCGGCTCCTTCAAAGGCTCCTTTAATCTCCCTCTGAAGAGCCGTGCCAGCGTAACTCAATTATTAATCTGAAATGTATCATTTCACGTCCAAACGGCACCGTTGATGAATAATAAACTGGAGGCGCTGCATAAACACTGTTGATTAGCGCAGTGAGCTTCACTGTTCTGAGGAAACTAATCAACCGGTTCCAGAAACACTCGCAGGGACGCCATGATGATGATGAACGCCTGATATTAACTTACAGGAGCAGTTCTGCCAAATAATAAAGTCTTTTGTTGTTCATGCGACTCCTTTGCATGCAGAAATGGTCCGCATTGTGTTTAATGC